GTCTCCGAATTCAAACTCTATTAAATAATAAGATTGAGTTTCATCGAAACACATTTTTGTCTATATTAGCTTACGAACTTTTCAGCCCAACTGCTACACAATATTCCCCAGGTATCACTCCATGTTAGATGTTCACAGAAAGAAACAACAAAAATTTCCAGTAGCAGTTGGCGGACTCGATTACCCAGCTCAGCTAGTGGCTTCCCGAATCAAGTGCTTTCATTTGTCAATCTCCACTTCAGAAGCTAACATTGCTTTACTCCCGATTGACTTTATTGAATATTTTTTTTTTTTTTTTTTTTTTTTTTTATTATTTTGACGTCCTTATATCCTTCTGGTTAAAGCTTTAAATGTTAATCAAAATTCATAAATATAGTGAATGAAATTTTCAGTGGTTTTGAATTTGGCAATTTGGTTTCAATGAGGTTCAATTTTATGCTTGCAGCCGCGGCCATTGTGGACGCGGCCACAGTGTCGGCGAATGTGGTGCGGCGGTACAAGCCGCTCTCGTCCAGCTCATTTGACGAGGGCAAGCCGGTGCGCCGAATCTCGTATCTGCGTGCCACCAACAACGAGGCGGAATACCATGCTGAGCCGGCAGCGGACAGCGGAGCTGCTGGCGGTGCTGGCGGTGCTGGTAGCACGGCGGCAGCTGTTGTTGCGGCAGCAGCCGCGGCAGCCGCAGCGGCGTCCGTCGTGGAGCCACACAAGACGAAGGCCCTGGTGGAGGAGCATCCAGACCCGACATACGATGTGATCGGCACCACCGGCGCCGGGCACGAGTTCATTGAGACACCCAACGGCCTGGAGGACGTGCGCCTGAGTACGCACCATGGCAATCGTCGGGCCTCGATCAGCAGCGACATGCGCAGCAGGTGAGTCCTTCGCGAGTCGCCAATGAGTCACATCGCCTAGCTAATCCTTACGCTTTGCACAGCATCCACATCGATGCCGAGCTGAACGGCAAGTACGTGCCCAACGAGCTGGAAGCCTTCGAAACGGAGATCGAGATCAAGTCCTCCTGCATCAATGGCAAGGTATGCAACGCTCAAATGAGTCCTTGAAGGGTAGGCAGTACTAAAGCCATCGTGTCTTCTTCTTGCAGCGCATGTCGGAGTATCGATCATGGCGTCAGGTGAAACTGGAGATCAAGGGCGACATTCTGCGCATTTACTCTGGTCGCCATACCAAGTCGGAGCATAATGTGAGTCGAGATTCGGATGTTTCCTGGTCTGGTGCGATGCTAATTCTAATTAATCTCTCATTGTCCGGCAGGTGATAGAGCTTGATATTAGAAATTTTAAATTCTTTGACGAGTCGTTGGACAAAAAGAAGTTCTTGATACGCATGCAGTCCAAGCCGAGCGCCACCGGCGCCCACCTGGCCACATTGGGCAACGAGCTCAATTTGGATGATGCGCACGATAAGCTGACGTCGTCGGGCAGCAGCAGCGCCGCTGAGCCGCAAACACCGGCGTCAACGGCTCCCTCCTGCGGTCCCTACACCGAAATTCTCTTCAAGACCAAAAACAGCAACGAGATGAAGCGTCTCTTTGGCCTGCTGCAGTGGAAGGATAGTCTGAACTATGATGATATTGTAAGCAATGCAGCAGATTCACAAATTTCCTGGAATTTCCATTAATCATTACACGCTTATGTTTCGTATAGGAGCAGCCGGCGGGCAAACAGCTGGCGGAGCCACAGAAAACAGCAGCCACGTCCAGCTATCTGGACGACGTGGCCGGCGCCGCGGACAGCTCGCCGTTGAGCTCACACTCGAGCGGGGCCCTGATGGAGGGACCTGTGGCGGCGACAATAGCGGCAGCTGCCGTCACCAATGACGCCATCTCGCCGGTGATGAAGCTGCGCAAGCCCTCCTCGCACAAGAATGTACCAGAGAAGGATTTGGGCTCGCCCAAGTCGAAGAACTGGAAGGACTTGCTCTTCCGACGAGGAGGCGGCAGTGGCGGCGGCGTATCCCATGCCGACCTGGCCTCACCCTCGGGCTGTGCCAACAAGACGGGCGGCTCCATTGGGCTGCCCCTGCGCGCCTGTCCCATGTCCAAGAATAATGCATACGTGCCGCATCTGGTGGAGGTGTGCACCAACATTGTGGAAACCAAAGGTCTGGGCGTGGTGGGCATCTATCGCATACCGGGCAACAAGGCGGCCATCTCCGAGCTGTCCGAGCTGGTTAACACTAAGGACTTTCAGTTCGAGAGCTGCGCCACCGACGTCCGGTGGGAGGATGTCAATGTGGTTAGCAGCTTGCTGAAGCTGTTCATACGCAGCCTGCCAGATGCACTGATGCCCGCCAGTTTCTACATCAACTTCATTGAGGCGGACAAGAAGACGGGCATGGAGCGGATAATGCTGCTCAAGGATATTGTGGAGCTGTTGCCCCGCCATCCGTACGAGACAATGAAGCATCTGATCCGGCACCTTTGCCGCGTCAGCGACAACTGCGAGGTGAATCGCATGGAACCGAAGAATCTGGCCATTATCTTTGGCCCATCCATTATACGGACACCGAACGACACCCTGGAGACGGCTGTCAAGGACATGAAGCATCAGTGTCGCATTGTCGAGCTGCTTGTCACGCAGGTGAGCTGAGATGCTGCTGCAGCTGTAATCAATGGAAATCAATTTACCTGCTTTCTCTCTCTTTTGCAGTACGAGTTTTTCTTTGAGGGCGGCAGCCTGCCGGACTTGGCGGAGCTGAGCGGCGGTGCGGCCGCGCCGAGCCCTGCACAGCCACAGCAGACGCAGGAGGACCAAACGAGCATGCTGCTGCACAACCTGTCCAAGATTGAGCGCATCACTGAGCGCGAGACGCGCTCCTCACGTTTCATTCCGCAGCTGCGTAGGCGAACCCACGGCAAGCGCAGCGCCGTCAGCTCGGACACGTACTCGGGCGAGAGTGTTCTGGTAAGCGGCAGTAGCCAAGCTCAGCACAATATCCACTGCACCACCAATACCACCACAAACACCACCAAAACCAAAACCAATACCACCACCAACACCACCACCACAACCACCATCCGCACCACCAACCAAAGACGAATGCAGCGCAAGGCTGTGCAAAGCATTTGCGATTTTGGCCTAATCCTGCCCGCTGTTCACTTTCAGTCGCTGGACTACGCCAAGGTATCAGCGAGCAGCACCACCAGCACCAGCAGCAGCTCCACGCTGCACAGCAGCAAGACCAGCACCACCAGCAAGCTGCTCAGCTCGGCGATGGGCTCGTCCGCCTTCACGTCGTCGTCGAGCTCGTCGAAGGCGGCGGCAGCGAGCACCAAGAAGCGCAGCACCGGCGGCTTCCTCTCCAGCTCCAGTTCGCGCAGCGGCCAGACACGCAAGGCCAGCCTCGACGAGAAGGATCTGGCCAGCGTGGACTCGGCCAGCAGCATAGGCAAGCACGACCAGCAGCAGCGCAGCAGCGTGGACATATCCATACAGCTCACCGACGACGATTCCAGCAGCCGGCTGAGCGATACGGGTAAGTGCAGGCTCTGTGGAAAGCATTCCCCAAGGATGCAGTATAGTAATTATTTCCACTCCTTGGCCAGGCTCGATGTCGCTGACCACCATCACGGACACGCTGGACAGCAAGTTGCGCAATCTGCGCAGTGGCTCGGAGTCGAATGATGAGAACGGCTCGCCGGAGTTTCCAAAAAATCGACGACACACGCTCGGCCAGCCGCTGCACTTGCACTCCGAGAACATTCCGTATGCGGACGAGTCGCCGGAGCGACTGTTCCACAACTTCTGCGCCCTGGACGCGCCGCACTCGCTGCTGCTGAGCCGCTCCTGCACGGCCACCAACACGCTGGGCGAGGCCAAGGACGAGAAGCATCTGCAGCTGATGCTGAAGCCGACGGTGGCGCCGCTGCCGGCCAGCCTGCTGAAGGCGGCGCACAAGCTGCAGCACTCGGCCACGGCGCCCATCCATCAGGGCAGCTCAACGGCGCCGGCTAGTGGCGCCGCCACGCCCACCGCCGGCACTGGCTCAAGCAGCGCCTCCACACCGCTGGCTGGCACGCCCAGCTCGCAGACGGGCAACGCGGGCAGCGCGGGCAGCGCGGTGCAACGCAACTCGTACGGCAGCAAGAACTTGCGGTTCAGCAGCTCGCTGGCCTACGAGCAACGGGGCGGCGCTGGTGGCGCCGGCTCCGAGGACGACTCGGAGGGCTCCACCACCAGTGACCCCAAGGAGAAGCTGCTCATGGCCGCTCCCTCGCCATCGTTTTTTCTCGAGCGCTACAATAAAAAGCGACGCGATCATCGACTCTTTCGCAGCGCCAGCTTCAACTGTCGCAACTACTCGACCCGACACATGAGCAGCAGCAACTCCAGCACGGCGGCTGCTGCGGCGGCCGCCGCCTGCTGCTCGCCGACATCGTCGTCGTCGTCGTGGGCCCATGCCGCTGGCGCGCTGACCAAGGATGAAAAGACTGACATGAATCTGACCAAGAAGCGGCAGATACAAAACAAACAGAATCGCTCAATCAAGCGGCGTCACACGGTGGGCGGACCGCACGACTATGCGGCCAATAACGGTGTTGGCGGCGGCGGTGGCGGTGCAGGTGGCGCCTGTAGCGGCGGTGCTGGCTGCGGCGGTGCCTCACGGCACGATCTGACGGCCATCAACTACAATCATCACAATCGCCATCACAAGCAGCAGCTGCTCAAGTTGGTCAGCGCCGCAGCCGGCGCCAATGGCGGTGCTGCGGCCGAAACGACAACCACAACAACAACCACCACCACAGTGCTGCGCAGGCTGGGCGCCACAGCGACCAGTGCGAGTGCCAGCGCCAGTGTGAGTGGCGTCACGGAGGCCAGTGTCGCGCTGCCCGTCTCTGGCGCCAGTTCTAGCAACAACAACGGCAGCAACAACAACAACAACAATTCGCCATTGAGCGACGGCAGCAACGGCAACAGCAACAGCAACGCCAGCGGCGGCGGCGGCGTCGGCAGTCCATGCAGCAACAGCAGCTCGGCCAGCCACAGCAGCAGCGGTGCTGGTGGTGGTGGTGGTGGTGGCGGTGGCGGTGGAGGCGTTGCTGGCGCCGACCAAGTGCTGGAGGTGGGCATACGCATCAAGAACATCAACAGAGCGCGCTTCTAAATGCAGCCGTTGGAGCAGGTGAGTGGCGCAATGAAATAGAGCTCAAGAATATTCAATAATTAATTTGGTAATTCATGTCGCTTGCAGCTAAGGGAAATGCAACAAACGTACAACTCGAATGTGTGAGGGAATATATTGATTTACATATATATATATATACATGTATATTGGAAAGGATTAGTATTAAAAACGAAATATATAAAACACACGGGGAAAGTATTTCAAAACATGGCTTAAGTAAATACAAGCTCTAAAAAATATAACAAAAATTTAAAAAACGAAACAAAGATAAGATGCAGAAAAAAAAACACACACACACACACAAATCCCCCAACAAGCCCCACAAGCGCACACAAACACACCGAGGGAACAATGGAAGAGCAAAAGTTATAATTGTAGAGACAGCGCATCGCCTAGAGGGAGACATAAATATATATACAACTATTTTGTAAAACGTATACAATAGTACGGAATATGCTTAACGCATACACTCACACACACACACATACAGAGAAACATGTATTTGTAAAAATAATCACTCACACACACACACACAGACACACCGAAACTTACACAATCAGACTTTTACAATCTATGTTCGATAGCCATATATGGAAGGAAAACAAAAACAGTGCATACATACATATATCTATTTATATATACATGTTTAAACTTAATCAAACAATGTCGCCTGTCTATAACTTAGAGGGAGACAGCAATAAAGCTGGCATGAGTTAACGTGAGTGAGAGAGGGGGAGGGGGAGATATGGCAACATCTTGTGGGCAGGCAGCTGCTTTGTATGATTTGCAATGTATTTCGACTGTTATGTATGTAGTTATGTACCTGTACCTGTTCATACACCTATGGATAGATTCTAGTGCGTAGATGGAAACACTTTTAGGTGCCTTAATTGCTTTGCTTTGAAAATTTGTAAGTGACATGATTTAGGGAACGCTGCCCACAGTGCTCGGTGCTCGATTGGGAATTTGGCAAAAAGCACATATGTCTATACGAACATATACATGCATGTGTATATATGTGCGTTGGGTGCTCGCGTGTCATTAGTTTAGGAGTCGACCATGTTTTGTAAAATGTGAGGCGTTAGCTAAGTCCAACATCGCGTGGACCTGGCCGAGCTGGGCCCAATGCAGCTGCCTGCTCGACGTGGAGCTCAGGCCCCTCAGTTACCGACAGGCGACAAAGAGCAGGTGCGCACATCAGCTAAATAGTATAGACAATGCGATCAACTGAAAAACCCCTCTGGCAAACAAATTACAAATGTCATATATGTATGTATGTATATCTAATATTTAAACAATTCAGCAATAAGTATAGCAGGGCAATGAATGAATGTGAGAGAGTTATAAGAGGACGAAGAGAGCATAAATGTATCCATAATAATCAACACACACATGCATACCTAATATACCTATATAAAATATAATATATACAAATAAATGTAT